AATGTGGCCTATTGAGATGATTAATGTCAGCCACATGCATCTGATGTGGCATGAGGCTGATCAATGTTTCTCATTATCTTTTCTCCTCTGATGAAACATTTGTTTTCAAAGTCTAGATGCATTAAGTGCTTCCAGAGCATAAGTTTGTAATACTCATTTTCATGGTGTTGTATGATGGCTGTCTTTTTGGAAAACTCACCCTTGCTGACAACAGTAGCCTCCAGTAATGCCATAGCCAAATCATCTACAGATTCTAACCGAGAGATAATCTGGTCAAAAGAGCAAGTTTGCCTCCCATAGTTTTCCTGGCTGCAGCTTTGTGACTGTGAGCTTGGGGAGATGATGTTACACAACAGTGGCACAACAGGCGTCAGACACAATTTCCTTCTTCCTCGTGGTCATAGTGCCTGAGTCATTCATAACCTTTTGTTGACCTGTTCATCCAAAGCTTTTTCACAGGCTTTTAAGGTGATATGTAAGTTAAGAGGGCATGCCTCTACCTGCTTCATTTCCCCTGTTCAGGTTTTATTTCAAGCAAGCTCACACTGTGTCCCAAAAGATTGACTGAGCTGGGGCTGTACAAAAACTTCACCCTCAAGTGTGAGCATTTGTATCTGTCTTTTTGTTCTTTGATGCAGCTTGAATTTTATGAAGTTTCACAGAGATATTATGAGCTGGAAAAAAATCGCCCCCATTTGACAGATGAGCGAGCTGAGCACAGAGAGGTTAGTGGCCATGGTGGGAGCTCTGAGTTACAGCAGACAGAGTGTGGGAACGTGGCTGTCAGCCCTGGCTGCTAACCTGCCACCCTCTCAGGTGCTCTGCTGAGCCTCAGCGTTTTCTCAAACAGACAGATTTCAAACATTCTATGAACTTTTTGCTTTCTTTTTGCTTTGTAAGGTTATTTGTATGCATCAGGTTCAACTCAGATAAGAGGCCAGAAATTATTAGCTGCCATTAGGCTGACAGGTAAAACATGGAGAAAAAGTTTTTAGAGGGTCTCCAGCAGTGTCAGACACATCAGAGGTGGGGATTACTGAGGGAAGCCTCTCAAAACTCATATCAGAGTAGAAGTTGGTGCCTATTGCAGTCATTATTTTATGATGTGGAAAATTTGGGGGTTTTATTTGTAGCTCAGTTTGTCCATGTGATGTGGCTCAGGGGTAAATGGGTCCCAGCTCTCTTTGAGGCTCACATTACTGACAGCTGCAGTGTTCACTTAGAACTGGGGAAATAAAAACTAGTCAAAATTCAGAGAATGAGTTTTATACTCAGACCTTCTGATTCAGCCAAAAACCTCTGTATTTTTCATGTCTTTTCATTAAGCTTTGCTTTTTCCATTGCCTGTGGTCAGGCAGAGCAGGAATTAATGTAATCAGGCACAGTCTAACTGGTATTGATGAAGCTTAGCTGATTAATATCAGTCCAGAATAATGTCTTGCGTTTCAAGAAATATTATTATAATTATGATGATGATTTCCCTCTTGTGCTTTCATTCCATTTATTGGAATGCCTTCCTTCTTCATTTATTTCCCACTCTGAATAGATTCTACACCTTTTTTTTAGCCTGCACTTTCCCCCCTTGCTCAGTCCTCTCAGAGGGAATGTGATCTCAGTGCCATTGTCTTTAATGTCAAGCTGGGACACCTCCATTTGTGAAGCAGGTTTAAATGGAAAAGCATTTTGAGTCACTCCTGTCCTCTTGCTGTCAGCTTGAGGGAGATTCCCTTTTGTTTGTCCATCTCCCCTTGACTCACAGACTGCTGAGCTGATGCAAGGCTGCAGACAGCTCCCAGTGAAGAAAGTGGTGAGCAAAAATCAGCTCATTTCTAGTGGCAGATTGATATTCTGGAGACATAGTAGCTTTTTCATGACTGTGTAAAATCATAGCAATGGACACCTGTTTTCAAGTGGGTTTCTGGAAGGAACAAGGAAATGGCAAAGGAAACTGTTGTTCGATTTTATGAATTTTTGTTCAATTTTATGAATTTTAGAGGATTACCTTCTAATTTCATACAATGATCAAACATGAAAAAATTTCACCTGCACTTGTTTGATGATCTCTAATGCCTGATTTACAGCATAAAATATTACCTATTGTGAAATATACTCAGAAACAGCTCAGACACTGCTTTGCATAAGTCTCCTGCAGTGCTCAGTGCTTCATCCTTTCCTCTGACCCAGGGAATTTAGTTCCCTTTGTTCTATTAGCAGAAATAATCAAACATGATTTTTGACAAAACTCAAATATACCATAAGCTTTCTATGTGAACACCTGTAAGTGACTTGATTTGTGAGATACAAGTTTGTGTTTATAGTGGAGACAGCAGTACTGCTGAGAAAGAAATAAAAATTCAGGTTTGGGGACAAATATTTGCTTTTCATTTATCAGGAAAAGGCTGAGCTACAGTAGCAAGACTGTTTTTAGAAGAAATGGGAGAACTATAGCCTATAAGCTGTGTATTATTGGAAGTGTTTATATATAGATGTATAGAGAGAGATATATATGTACAGACTAATAGAATCCCTTGTTCTAACAAATTTTATTTAATCAATAGCTTTCTATTGCCTACTTGAATATTTATTTTAAACATTGTATTAAGTCTTCTTTAAAACAATGGAACATTCCCTTCTACAAGGATTTGTCCATCAGGGTACAATACTGAGTCAAAGCAAATGGTAAAATCCTGAGTCAGATGGAATGAATAGGAAAGTAAACAGTCCTTCACTCTGTGTGTTCTTCTGGGGTGTGACACAAAGGCCGATAGGAGCCTGCTCTACAAATAGGAGAGATTATTAGGACACAGGGATTTGGCATCAGGCATTATCGGTATTTTCTGTGCCCATGCCCAGGATAAAATCTCCCCTCAGGTTCTGATTTCAGTTTGGGGCAATGTTTGAGGACTCCAGACAATGCAGGAATTTTAAAAGTGTGGCATGTGCTAATGGATCATTGACATAAACCGGTTCTTCAGAGGCTCAGCAGCCTTACATTCCTTTGCAGGTAAGGTCACTGTCAACATGCTTGGTGCCCTGTGTGTCAGGGTCACAGGTACTTGACACTTTGCAGGCAGCCTCAAAAAAACACCACAAATGGCTGCCATTCCTTCCTGCACTTCTGATTGTTTTGTAAGGTAGAGTCTGAGAGAGAGAGAATTGATAAAAGAATGCAAAGAAGCAGAGGTAAACTGGACTGAAGCCATGTACACGTGTGAGCGGGTTATTCCCTTAAGCAGGAGAAGGAATACACACAAACCCTTTCTCCTTTCCTCTGAGGGAGGCATCTGCAGCAGTTCAACACTTCTGTGGATCCTGGCAGTTAGTAAATCTCGCTCAGGTTCTCATAGCTTAGCTAATACTGGCACCCAGGCTAGACCACAGCTGTGCTATCACACGATTTGGTTTCAGTGAAGTTTCTTCAGAAGGAGCTGTTTTATCATGCCATTGTATAATGAGAATAAATGTCTCTGTAGAAAATTCTCATGAAAAATTCATGCCTAACAGGCCCTGAGCATGTACCCTTGATAGCTAAACATTTTTAAGTCTTGTCAGCTTTCAGTTTTTCTTTTCCTTCTTTTTTTTTTAAAAGACAAAATACTGCAATGTGCTCTCTGTGTGTGGGCAAGTGATTAAATATCAATATTCTGGCTTTAAACCTTTTTTTTGTAGTAATAATAATAGCAACAACAAGAAGTAGTAGTAGTAGTAGTAGTAGTAGTAGTAGTAGTAGTAGTAGTAGTAATAGTAATAGTAGTAGTAGTGGTGGTGGTGGTGTCTGGCTTCCTTGAGTGAAATAGGGAGATGTAAATTATTTACAGTAATCATCTTACCCTGCAACTCTAGCTATACAATTTAGTCACTGAGCTTAAAGCAAAAATAAAATTGAACTTTTTCAGTTTACATTGTCTTCATTATAATTTGCCAAACAGGAAACTGAAATTTCCTAAAAAAAGTAGATACTTGCCTGTGTTGCTCTTAAAACTTTTGAAGGCTGAACAGAGCATATACCATGTGTTCTTCTTCCTCAGAATCAGTATTGAGCAAATAGATTTATTGTACTCAGTTTAATTTCTAGATTTTTCAGGTGAGAGGAATTCTGTGTGCTTTTTCCAAGTTAAAATGCTCATTCTTGTGATTATCCCACAGTCTGCCTTTTCTGCCACATCAGAAATACTTCAGTGGCTGTGTCAGCCTGTAAGAGCCTTCACAGATGGACCCCTTCATCACACATATTCTTTCCACAAAAGAAATTTGGAAAACTAATCACAAATTCCCCTTTGGTCTCACTCATCACATCTACCCTGCAAAAACACTGTCATTGCCACATATTTCTGCTTACTCCTTTGTTCTGAGTGGATTTGTGAGGCTTGGAGCTGGATTTTGAGAGGGAAACCATGATACAATAGCTGAAATATCTTCACCTTGCTTTTTCTTTTTATCTTACAGAGCAAAATATTAACTCCCACCAATATATAATGTACTTGATTATTGGTTTAATTTCACTAAAAAAAGCTTTCATCTTAGTGTATTTTTGTCTAGGTAGAGTTGTTCTTTGGAAGATTTACCTTTCATGTCATCAGTTATCCTAGCATTTTATTATCAGATATGAATATATCACATCCTGCTTTAGCTCCCTTTTACCTGTTTAAATTGTGTTTTACTTTAAGATTATTAAAACAAATTCTGCTTCTGTGTGTCTGTACAGCAACAGAATATGCTGATTTTGATTGATCTCTTTGTATAGAATGGTAATAACTTCAACCTTATCATGACTTATGTTCGTATATGAGAATAATACTGTGATAGTATTCCTGTATAAGGAATCATCCCATCATTCTTACTGACTCCAAACTGTAGAAATTACTGAACATTTCTTACCTTTCTCTATGTCATAGTGCTTGCTTCGATGGTTTCCTTTTATAATTAATGAAAAAAAAATTATATTTTTTTATTTCTTCCTCTCTGTGTTACATGGTCTCACTTGTTCTCACCTATTGCAGATCAAGGAACCGTACAAAAAGTTGTTGTCCTACCCACCAACTTCTCTGCAAGTGGAGAACTCATTTTGGAAGAGATGGAGGTTTTTCAGGTTTGGCTTTCTCCTTCTTTTGTTTTTCCAGTGTGTATGTTCACACAAACACTTTGTTCTAACAGACTTTGGCAAGGGCAACTGTGATTTGGTAAAAGATCAAGTAAATGAGCATGCTGTCAGTTTGATTACCACATAAAGATTACAAAATGTTGACTGTTATGAAGGCTAGAGCTAGCTGAAGCCCTTTTTTTCTCCGGTATTTCAGTTGCCTATTTTTTATGTTGATATACTGGCTAGAAGGATTTTGATAATCAGTTTTTTAGGAGGTCAAGTTCTAATGGCTTCCAGAAGGAGACTTTTACCATTGGCATCACTGTAGAGGTTGTTGCTGTATATGGTTGGAATTTCAGATTTCTGTACTTTGATTATCTGAAGATCTTCCTGGTTCTCAGTTGCAAAATGAAATCAAATTAGTGTTGTTTTTGCTTAACTCCTGTTCTTCAAAGTCACATGCTGCTGGATCCAAGAAAGCTACAAGTTTAAAAGAACGTAAGCTGAAAAAAACCACCAAAACTACAGGGAGATAAAAGAATAGCCTCTGTCAATCACTCTGGCATGCAACAGTTGTAATAACCTAAAGAAAATGTTCACTCTCATGTTGAAAAATCCCTCTCAAATATTTGGATGGGCTATTCATTAAACGGTAGTCTCAGAGCAAGTGGTATTATGTGTCTATAAACTTAGTTAAGGATTTTGTCATGGCCATTTCTCTGTTTCATTGACAGAATAAAAAAGGAAGATTTACGTTTCTTTATTGAGGCAGCATTAATGGTTTCAGTAAGAAAAGGAACACTCATAAAGGCATCTGTGTTAACACTCATAAAGGCATAGCTAGTCTTTCTAGGCTTTCATTGAAGACTTCCTGCTAAAAAAGATATATGTGAGTGATATTATTTAAAATTCACACTCTTTACCAAGAAAGTGCAGATTCCATTTACTGAAACATAAATTAATACAGCACAAAGATAGTTGGGCTGAGAGGAATCTCAGCCTAAACCTATTTTCTGGGCCTCTGTGCACAGAGATCCTCTTCCAGAGCAAAGAAAGAAAGGAGAATGTGGCATCAGGTCCAACATTGCATTTGACCTGCAGACTCCAAACAGTTCATGGAGCAGCTCTAAGCTTCTCCAAACCTTTGCCAATTCACATGACTCACAGCCAGATTCTCTGGTCCTGACCTCCCTGCTGTGTTGTGGTCATCTGCAATTAATCCTAGCCCACTGTTAAGGCTTTCCTTTGTGGCTGAGCAAATGCTGAACCGTAAAAAAATGCTGAACATTTTTATTACCATCGATTTTATCACTTGTTTGGATGAACATAATGACTTAAGGCAAGGAAAGTAACAATTCCTTTTCCAGCTCTTTAATATTTGATTTGGACACAGACATTAATAGAGTGCTCTGATGACACACAGTAGTATAGAGTACTGTCTCTGGGAAAGAAACATTCGAGAACACTTATGTCATTTTAAAATACTCTGGTCATTGACAATCTGAATTTACATGCTGCATGGTAACCAAACTCTACGCACTGTAAATCACTTGTAAGAAAAGAATTTTGTATTCTTATCTGGATCATGTGGTAAATATTAATGAGCTATTTTATGATTTTTCCTTATCATCATCGTTAAAGAAAAAAAATTTCCTATTACAAAGTTAAAGTAATGGCTCTTCTATTTCTGAGATAGCACCAGATGCAGGTTAATTATAAGTATACAAAAACCTTTTAGATACATGTAATAATAATGTGGTTGAGTTTCAGCAATATATTTTGTGAGACATTAATTGTTTACGTGTCATTTGTTTAGTTCTGAAAATAGCAGTACTTAGTAGGAGTGAGTGCTCTCTTTTCAGGGTATAAACATGTATCATTTTCTTAGATATGATTTAGGTTTTAGGAACTTTTAAATGTTAATTTTGGGACAAAGTTCTTGACATGATTTGTTACTCTGTCTTTCAGAGTAATTCTCCTATAACATCAATGAAGATCTCATCTAAAAAGGTAAGGCAAAGTGGGATGCCTGCTTAGTGCTTATTAATTAAGAAGCAAGTTGACTTAGATGTTAGAATATCAGTTCTTGTGGAGCACACTAAATATAGGAAAGTTTTCCAGATTGAGTACAGAAAACTGGACTGACGTTTGCACGAGCTGTTTATATGCCCTTGCACTAAGATAAAACAATTTCTATTCATTATGTATAATTTCTAATTAACTGAAAGTGTCGGGTTCCTTGTTTTGATTTACAATTAAGGAATAAAAAAAAAAAAAACTAAGAGAGGGAATTCACCCTCCCTGTTTTTTTCTCTAAAGTCTCAAATAGAAATTTTTCCCTGGAAGTCTGTCTGATCAGTGTATAAAGGCAGTGTTGGGGCTGTTGGATCTGTGGTGAAATTGTGCATGTTTGTTTAATAGTAATAAACAATGGCAATAAGAATGATGAAAACAGCTGAGAGGATTTCTGCTGAAAGGCTTAACACAAAAGCTGAAAATGTATATTCTATGATTTTGCAAGCAAGATGTTGCTCAATATTTTACAAAGCTACTACTAAGTAAATATTATTCACTAAGTTGATTTCACTATGCTTTTTCATTTTTATGACAAGAAGATCAAAGGAATTTCAAGGGGTTTTTGTTCAATGTTAATTTATATTTTTTAGAATGATTAATTGTTTTTTGAGTAAAACAGTCATTTTGGCCCAGGTTTTGGTAATGATCTACACCCTTTGAACTTCTCTTGCAAAAGCTCTGATTTATTATGAAAGTTCTCTTGGCTTATTTTTCCAGGTATATAAGGCTATCAGAATCTGGCCATAAGCCTCAGTGTAATCTCAAGGTTTTACATCTTGGAAATGTATGCAATGGAGGATCCAACTAGGAACTCTGCATAATATTTATTAAAGTGACTGTGTGCAGAGAAAATACGTAGTTCAAAGGCTTGAGCCAGTAATCCTCACTGAATAAGAACCAAGTTCTCAAATCTGAGCAATATTAAGTCAGCCTGTCTGCCCCAGAACAGAACAATGACACTCAATGTCCAAAAACCCATTAACATTCCAGAGTGTTTCTAGGTGTTTTCTAGCAGGAAGGTGGAAATAATATAGATCTGTTCACCTGGGAGATTTCTGTTGATCTTGACTTTAGATGTATTTTGGCTCTGCTCTTGGCCTTGAGTTAATTCCAAACTTAATTGAAAGGTATTTTGGGTGTGTTAGCCAGGTCTTGGGTGAAACTCCCCCACATCTGAGCTAAATCCTCCCATTTCCCCCTGCAGCAACAGTTGTATGTGAGCTCAGATGAAGGGGTCACCCAGGTTTCCTTGCATCGCTGCCACATCTACGGGACCGCCTGCGCCGACTGCTGCCTCGCCCGAGATCCATACTGTGCCTGGGATGGCAACTCCTGCTCCAGGTTTTATCCCACTGGGAAAAGGTGAGCAGTGTTTAGCAGGAAGATGGCTTTCATTCTGAGGGTTGTGATGTGATGGAGAAGTGAGATTTCATTCCTTTCATGTGCGTGTACAAACAACACCCCCGTAGCTGTTGTGCCTGGAGTTATTCATCACCTAGGACTGTGTGCTGCAGGAGTGTATGGTAAAGAGCTTGGCTTTTCATATTCAAAGTAATGGGTGGAAAAAGAAAGAAAAAGAAAGAAATGGTTTCTTAATCATAAATATTAATCTTTCTGTCTCACGCACACAAAATCAGTGAGACATTTGTTCCCTTCATTTAAATTCAATTACTTACTATGGATGTAATTATGATAGCCCTAAATACAGCAAAAGATCTCTCAGGCTGTCTGAGGAATAAACTCATTTATATTTTTTTTGTTCCTCATTTGCTCCTAAGTGAGAAGAATTATTTTCAGGAAAATTTTAGGCAAATGTGATTTCCATGTAATGTCTGTGGATTTGGGCTTTTTGACATGAGGTTTATTGAAGCAGACAGGGAAAGCAATTTCTGTTTAATTTGCAACAGAACTAATAGTCCATCTCATAATCTTATGCAAAACAGGAATCTCTTTCCTCCTCCCAGGGGAAATACTTAATAGCAGAAGGCTGTAGTGAGCTCTTGTCTTAATAAGATTTCACTTCTTATACAAACAAAGCTACAGAATACACAATTAAGTGTTACTGCAGAGGGGACAAATCTTTCAGATGTATGCTCTCTACAGCTACCTGGAAGGAGGTTGTAGCCAGCAGGGGTTGGACTCTTCTCCCAGGTGACAAGCAGAGGGACAAGAGGAAACAGCCTCAAGTTGTGCCAGAAGAGGCTTAGGTAGCATATTCTAGAATCATAAAATCATGAAATATGCTGAGATGGAAACTGGGACCATTAAGTGCATCTCCTGGCCTTGCACAGGACACTCCAGGAATCACACCATGTGCCTGAGGGCATTACCCAAACACTTCAAGGCTTGGTGCTGTGACCACTTCCCTGGGGAGCCTGTTCCAGTGCCCAGCCACCTTCTGGACGAAGAACTTTTCTTTATATCCAACCTAAACCTGTGACTGTGCTCAGTGTCTGCACCAGGCGCAGAGTGCCGCTTACAGTCACTGTGTTTTGTTCCTGTTCCTTCATAGAGGGAGACAGTTGACAGAAAGAGGCAAAGCTCTGATCTGCTGATAATAATGCTATCCCCTGGACAATTGTTTTTGTTATTGCAATGTTTTCTTGACTCATTCCTTACCTGAGATTACAAGGTAAAACCCAAACTGACCACAATTTAGAGTACATGGGGTTGTTAACTGCTTTCATTGAGAATATTCAGCCACCAGTCTGCAGACTCCTTCTTTTCTTCCATGGAACAAAGGTCAGAATGTGGGGGAGGAAAGAAAAGAAAAATCCCCAAGTCTCAGCCCACCTAACTCCCACAGTAACACAGCTGCCAAAAGGTACAAGGAGCAGTCAGGTACACCCAGCCTGTGCAGTTTCCAGTTTGCCATCCCCATTATATACACCCACCCAGGGTTATTTCCACTGGGGCTTGCTTTCCTGCTGATATTTTGTTTGCAATTTGCTCCTTATGTCAAACCAAAATAAACACCTCTAACTGTATGGAAAAAAGTCTGGTTTTCATATGTGAAGGAAATGAGTTGTCTCTTTATCTAACAAGGCAAATTATGAAGGAGAAAACATTGGTAACTAGATCCAAATCCCTTTGTCTAGACAGCAGAAACTACTGTATGAATTTGCTTATTTGCTTCTTTTTACACTTCTGTCTCCTGTGAATTACTGCAGTTCCTCATGCAACATTAATTTACCCCAAAACACCTTATGGGTATTACCTTTATTTTCTAACTGCCACTCTTTTTTTTTTTTTTTTTTTAAATTAATATCTAAGTGCTAAGGTCTCATTCACAGAACTGCTTTATGCAAGCAATGTGCCATCTCTGACAGTTTGGAGCAGCTCATGGTAGCACAAGAACTCTGACATTCACTCAGAAATTCTTCATGACCTCCCTTGACTCATGTAAATAGTTCACAAGGGTTAAGACCCCATGGCATAAAAAGAAATCTTTTTGATGGTAAACATAAAAACTTTACTTGGAATTTCAGTAATTACTCCTTTGAAACATCACTGTTCAAATATTTCCCTTTCAAGCAATGCATGGGCTCAGATGACAGGGGATTATGAGCACTCTTTTTGTTTGTGCACTACCTGGTATAATGTGGCCATAGATGTGTCACCCTTCCCTCTGTAGTACTGGAGCTCCAGGGGCTTTTTATGGTTTCTGATCCTCAAGTCCTTAGTGCATGGTTCAGAATACAGTTATGTAATATCCCATTGCAACAACCAATATATTTTTTTTCTTGAACTTGATAAATACTGTCCTACCTTACATAATATTTAGCAATGAAAATAATAATCTTAATAATAATAAAAAATAATTGAGCACCAGCTTTTCATGCACTGAATTCTATGAGCTATGACTTGCTAGCTGAGGACTGAATGCCAGTATTCCCAGTAAGCTCCCCAGAAAGTTTGCTACAGAATCGTGATTTTATATCTGTCATCCAGATTATATAATAAATTCCCTATTTAGAAGTATCCTGATACTTGGTGAGTTTTATTATGTTTTGGAAATAGTCACATCTCTTCAAGTAGAAGACAGAATAGAATCTTAGCTCTCCACCATTCTGGATGAATACTTCAGTCACTCTGCTACAAAGGTGGCTACAGGCACCAAAAATGAAGTGCTTGGAGCTTCTGGTAAGCTTCACTTACCACGTGAAATTGAGGTAATTTTTATCATAATTTTGTGCTGGTGTGTCAGATATGAGCAGTATGAATCTTGTGCATCTCATTCTTAGCTGCTTGCCTTTATGAAGAGTTTCAGCTGGAGGTTCTGGCTTTGAATGCTGGGTATTGTGAGTGAACAGAGATCTCTTTCATTTATCACCTCTGATCCTTCCATCCCTAAACCTCCACTGCACAACTGTTTTACCTACAAAAACTGCACCTGTTTTATCAGCTTCAACAGATGCTTCACCTAAACAGTATCTTCACACCAACAAGCCTGCCAAGAGTAAAGCACACTCACCGTAGGTCATGAACTATCCCTAACATTTGATCTAGTAAAAAAAACAAAACACAAATAAAAAAAGCAAATCCACAAATAAAAAAAGTGGTTATTTTCAGTGTAGCTATCTTGGAATAATATTTTGTTTTTACAAAATATTGCAGGAGGAGCCGTAGACAAGACGTGAGACATGGAAACCCTCTGACTCAGTGCCGAGGTTTCAACCTGAAAGGTACTGTAATTTAGAGATCCTCATGTTATATAAAGAACACATGGTTTTCCTTTGTATGATTCATTGTAACTGACATTATCAGTTTGGTTTACTGGTAAAGCATAATTATTTTCCAAGTCTGAGTTTTGTTTTGATTTGGTTTTAGCACCTTCCTTGCAATTACATGAAACGTGAACATACATGATAAAATATTGAGACATTAAATACATAGTTCAACATACTTGAATTGAGAAGCTGACACTGTTGATTAGAAAAAGGTAAAGTTAGTTTACCTTGGTTTCCCTTCAGTCTTTATTAATGCCATTTCATTCATTTAAGCTTTGGACCTCCAATTTTCTCTGAATATTTGATCCCATACTGAGTTTTGGAGCACACCTTTGAGCAAACAGCAGGATCTAGGCTGGCCTGTCTTTTGATTTATGATTATTCCCTTATCCCTTTATATGAGGAAAAAAACGATTCCAAATTTCTTTATGGAGTCTCTTATTTCCAGCTGTGCAACTGTTTAGTCAGCCTGGCCAGGGGAGCCAAGGCTTTGCTCTCCCAGCAAGCACTTTCTCTAGTTTGATGGATACCAGTCAAACATGCCCAAAGTCATAGGAGTAAACAGATATATAAAGGCAATTCAATCCTCTTGAACCCCCTGCATGTCTGAGCTAGGCAGGGGCAATGGATGCCATCAGACTGAGGGCACACAGACAATTGTGCTCCTTTCACCTCTATTATGAGCCTGATTTTTGAAGTATGTTCTCATCTGTACCACCTGGTGACCGAGTAATAGAGCTGATTGTAAATGTTTTTATTGATGTTTTTCTAATCAAAGAACAATGCTTTAAGAGTGACATGTGAAAGGTTCTGTTAATAATAATTCTACTGAAACAGTCTCCACTGGTTGTTGGAAGAATCTCCTGGATCAGAAAAGACCACAGCAGTCAGTTGGGTGTAGATCCCTCTGCTTAAATGAGTCACTATTAGGTAATTTATTTATGAAGCTGAAGAGCTTGAGCAAGTAATTCCAAGAGATGACCCCTGTTAGAGAATACACCTGAGCTCTGAGAGATCCACGTTGAAGCAACTTGAGCTGTGTCTTCCCCTGCAGGCATCTGCTGAGACCTCCCACCCATTATCTGTCCTAAGGGTGGGTGTCTGTCTCCTTCCATTTGGAAAATGTGAGAATGTCAACTGTCTGCATTCTAGCCTGAGGGGGGATAATTGTTTCAACCTTGACAGTCTTGTGAAGCAGGTTTCTTGTTTTCCAGCCACTTTTGCAATGTGGATGTATTTATAGGTTTAGGTATTTTAACATCTCTGTAAAGGAAGTTTCGGTGGCAGCAGTGGGATACAGGGTAGGTAGATGGCAGTTGTTTCCCTGGGAAAAAAAAGATGAAAAGAAAGAGCAATTTAGACACTTGCAAAATATAATTTACAGCCATTTATAGCAAAATGACTGTGTTTGGGGAAAAAAGTGAAATCTACTTAAAGGACAAAAGAGCAGAGAGCCAAGCAAAGCCAAGGAATCTTCCATGCTCATAGAGAACCATCATGCTGAATCCAAGTCTTTAAACATGGGAGACCTCTAAGCACATATAAACTTAATATTTTTAGCACATTGTTATTTTTAAATAAATCATCAAGAACTAAGCAATCTTGTATGTTTTCATTTCACGTCTGTTTAACATTGTTAGGTTTGTGTTAGCCCTTATAGCCATTACAGAAATGCATTTTGAATGTGAAGTATTTCCACATTATTCTCCTAGAAGTTATAATTGGTTTTGGTACAGCTTCCTAAATGTGCTGAAGGACTAAAAACAGGCAAAGTCTCCTTCCTTCAGAAGAATAGATTTCAATTTCACATATCAGTTGATGAAAGAAACTGAAAAGAATGGGAGATAAAGTAGAGTCTGAGAAAAGCCAGTCTTAGGACTGTGCAAGAACAGAATCAGATTTTAGACATACAGACCTCTAGGTATTTGCAGTTCTCATATTATTTCAATAACTTCCATTGCTTCTTTCTCAAAAATAAAAAAATGTATTTCATATATGAGACAAGCTTTTCAGTCTGGAGGTGCTTTGTTTTGAGGACCAAAGCAATAAGCATCCAGAAGTTCCTACTTGACTGCCAATTATTCAGCTATGGAGACTGTAAAGGGACACAAGAAGTCTGAGTGATGACATATGCTCAGCACTTGCCCAGGTGTTGCTGGAGTGCTATAAATCTGTCTTTCTCTCTGTTGCTGGCCTGTCCACATATTCATCACATTTCAGGTTGAGAGCCAAGTCCCTTCCATGTGTTGGAAGAGAAGCAGAGGATCAGGAGCCCAGCCTGCCCGCTCTTTCCTCCCTGGGATGCTGCATGCAGCTGGAGTAGCTGGAGCCTTCTTTAGGGCATGATGCTTTATTTTGATCATACAGCCTTATTCCCCCAACTCATAAAAGGTGAAGAAATGCATTAAATGCTTCATTCTCTTTTGGAGTAGTAGAGAATGAGATCATTTCACAGAAAAATATCCCTGAGCTCAGTTATCCCATCAGCAAAGTTTATCAGCCTATAGGTGTCCTAGTTTCTCAGAACAGACCATGTCACTCTGAAAACATTGATATTTGAAACTGAATGTGCTTCTTCACATTCCATTTAATTTATTTGAAATTTTTTCCTAAAACATATTTGATTTTGGCCAATATCAGAATCAGGCATACTTCATTTAATCTATATTGCAAAGAGTTACATGTTTTCTTAATCAAATCAGCATTCACAGCATCCTGACCTGTTTTCTTTCTTTCTTCTTTTTTTTTTTTTTTCTTTCTAGCATACAGAAATGCAGCAGAAATAGTGCAGTATGGAGTAAAAAACAACACCACCTTTCTGGAATGCACACCTAAATCTCCTCAGGCTTCTATTAAATGGCTGCTACAGAAAGACAATGACAGGAGGAAAGAGGTGAGCTATATGAGGATCCTCAGTCAGCATGACATTCCCTTCCCAAATAAAGGGAGGGAACAGTTTGTGTTTTTATCAGGCAGTCTGGCTACAGTGAAGGTGGAGAATTTGTGTGGAGGCAGGACAGTGACCATCATTACTCATATGAATAAGAGCAGACTCAGTACAGCTGACACTTCATCCTCAGACCCACAGATTTCTGTCAGATCAGAGCAGCTACAGAAAATTAAAGAATCTTTGCTTCACACCTTACTGATTGCAAACTGAAGGTTTTCAGCACTCAGAACTTCTTATTGATCTAAGGAAATAGGCATAAAAGCAAGAACTTGTATAAAGTTCAGGAAGAAGTCAGCATGCAGTAGCTCCTCTGTGCTATTGAAGAGATAAAAGGCAAAAGTGGGAGAAATGTGAAAGGTTTCTTTAGCAAGAAGCTAGTCCAGGCTAAGAACACGTATTGACAAAAGCATTTCCTCACCATGGTGCAATCACATTTTCCATTACTGCACTCTCTACGGCTCTCAAGTTTCAGCACTGTAATATACAGTATGATTGTTTATGGGGAATGTTCCTTCCTTAAGCAATATAAAAGGGGAAAAATCCATTGCAAATCCAAGGCACTTACAATATGAATAAAAAGAAACATTTTTCAAAAGGAACTTTTAAGTAATGTGGTGTCTGTTGATAGGTTATAAATACTGTAAAGTATTATTCTCCTATCAGGCCATTTTACAAAAACAGAGGGGAATTACAAATGTCTCACTGAGTTTTTTAACTATTCAAAGCCATGTCCTGGCAATAGGTGCCATTCCTTAACCCATTGCTTCAGTAGATCATCTCCCTTTTTTTGTTCTTATATTCAGTACATATATTGGAATCGATGCAGTTTCATGGTACAACAGGCTGAATAAAGCAATCAAAGTGTTGATTAGTTTTCAAGCTCTCAGATGTCTGGAAATCTTCCACAATGTCTACAAAAGTTTACAATAGCAGAATACCATAATAAGTAAATTAGTTCCCAAGAGAACCAAGTATAATGCAGAGTAGAGTAGCAAAATAGAAAAACCATGCAGCAAAATACCAGCAGTGGTTTCCTTTCATAATGGACTGAACTAGCAATTTTTACTTCATACTGATATGCAAAGGGACATCTGCACATTAATTTATAATTGGATGATAACAAGCTCTGGTAACTTGCTTCTTTCAGTTGATGTGATCATCTCCTGGGACAGTGCAGAGTCTGAAGCCAGAAAGGAAATAGGAGAGTACCTGTGCTCTTGGTTAACACTGAGCCAAGTCCCACTTGGGACCACTGTGGTGATAACTTTTATAGGCTGCAGACTCTGCAGAGCAGATAGAGTTCTTCAGCAGGAACCTGCTCAAAGTCAAAACATTTAATGAGAAGACACCTTGAGTTCAATGTCAAATGAGCCTCCCTGGTTCTACACCTTTCTTCCACTCAGCAGCACTCTCTTGATGCTGAGAGACATTCTCAGGAGTGCAGCAGGGCAAATAAAAGTTCATTTTTTCAACTCTACTGTTCAAACATTATGAAAGCTTCTATTTAATGTGGTTTCCAGATTTTCATCTTTGTCTACATCCTGATCAGATTTATTCCAGCATAAGAAATAAAATTATTTAAGTCATTTTCTTTAGCAACACTTGCCTTCTTTGAGGTGTGCTCTCTTCTAAAGGTGGTCTCTTGAAGACAATTATATAAAAATATAGTAACTTTAGGAAAGTCATGTTTGAAGGGAAGCTTACCAAAAGATGCAGTGCTCTGTTGTTCCATAACCTTCCCTAAGAGGTTCCTTCTGCCTTTCTGCTCTCCAGGTGAAGCTGAACGAGAGGATCATAGCTACTGAGCACGGGCTCCTGATTCGCTCCGTGCAGGACAGCGACCGCGGGCTCTACCACTGCATCGCCACCGAGAACAACTTCAAGCAGACCTTGGCAAAGATCAACTTCAAGGTGCTGGATTCAGAGGTGGTGGCTGTCATGACTGACAAGTGGTCCCCTTGGACCTGGGCCAGCTCGGTGCGAGCGCTGCAGTTCCACCCCAAGGACTTTGTGGGGGCTTTCAGCCACTCGGAGATGCAGATGATCAACCAGTACTGCAAAGACAGCAGGCAGGCAGGGCAGCACAGGGAAGAATCCCAGAAGATGAGAGGGGACTACACCAAACTAAAGGCCCTTATCAATAGCAGAAAAAGTAGAAACAGAAGAAACCAATTACCTGGATCTTAATTTTATTTTATAGTAATAGATATTTTTGTCCTCAGTGTAGGGGGCTTATATTTGTCTATTGTGAACAAATTCGTGCAAATCTGATAAAAAATTAAATTAAATTCTAGCAAGACACGTAAAAGATCTGTCTCCCAATTAAATGCAGTGTAACATAAGAAAATAACTCAGAGCATTTTCTTTCCTAGGTACTTAGTGATTCAAGCCTGGGCTCTGTTCTAGAAGAAGCACTGGGTATTCGTCTTAAACCAGATTCACCTATAACATCTCAATATTTATTACAGCTGAATAGAAATTTTTACAAAATCAGTGCATTGTCTTGCAACTCTGGACCTGCACCAACTAGACTGGTGGTGAAAGAATCTGGGTTAAGATGCGTACTTAGAGCAGGATGGTACTAAGATTTCCTTGCACTGTGTTTAAGAACATGAGTTTCTTCTTGTTTACTGCTCAATATTGGGTTTACAGCTTTCACTCATCGATCAAATCATGTGAATGCATGCAGCTAGGAAGCAAGTAAAATGTACTAGAAATGTTTCATTTGCTCAGAGGTCAAATGAAGGAACAAACAGAAGAAAAACAAAGAATTTATACTTTATCAGAGTAAGCACTGATTATTGTGCATAGTATGAGTTGCAATAAATTAATGAGTTCTGGAATGTAACTTAAAATATCTCTGCTCATATTGATTTTTATTAAAATAGGGAGTCCTATAACACTACATAGCTTTATAAGTGGCACAAAGGTAACATGAGAATGTTCATTATACATACAATTTTGAAAAACACCTAAGTGACTTAGGTATTTTAGCTACTTCTCAAAGGATTACACTCCAATTTCTTTTCAAAGGACAGAATGTAGATATACCATATAGTGCTTGTTCAGAAATGAAAAATATAGATTATCTTTATTCTGTTCCATGATTAAATTGGAGCTAGTCTGCAATGTGGAAACAAGTCATAAGTGTCTTTGAAATTTTTAAAACATTATTTTTTCAACTGTTTTCTCAAAGTTGCAAATATTTTAACTAGAATTTTCTAATTAAACCATTCCCATTTTCCAGTTTTTTTTCCCTTATTCTTTTCCATGTTATTTTCCAAATTTGCTCCTATTTTCAGTTCTCTGCTAAAAAGCAGATCAGGAAAAGAAAAAAAAAAAAAAAGGAATGAGGGAAAAATAAGACTGAAAAATGGGTTTGGGTTGAAAACCAAAAACTCTAACTTTAGAGGCATGTTCAAACAGAAATCTTTTGTTTAAGAAGCAGCTGTCAGGTCTGATGAAGCAAGTTTGGTTGAAAATTGGGTGAGTGTACACCAGGTCATCCTAGGAAAAGCAATCACTTTTTTTTTTTTGAGCAATGCAAATGCCATAAAGAAGGGCAGATCATCACTGCTTTTACTATGTAAGAGTGTTCTGGAAGCCACTGAGTCTGTTCAAAACAGTCACAGGGATTAAAAATGTAGGAGTACCCTAGAAAAACCACAATTATTTATGGCATTATACAAAAATATAAACTGATGTTCAGCTCAAATCTGAGTTGTTAAGTTATAATTCTGCTTCTATTAGAATTCTCTGGGAGTAACTCTACAGGGCATGGGGAAACACTTCTGGGTTTGTGCCTGTGTGAATTCAGCTTAATGCAATGGAGGTAACACTGGTGTTTATCTGCCATTAGCTGGATTGTCACTTTATCACCACCTCGTGAAGGACAGCTGGGAAATGAGCCCTGATCACACCATTTAAACAGTCTCTAAATCCCTTTGATGCTGCTGGGATCTCTTTGAATTTAATTTGTGTGCCTACTGCTAGCATGGCAGTGCCAGCCTGCTCATTATTGCCATCTAGTTAAGTGCTCTCCTTACTCAAGGCCTCAATGTGTATTTCTGCAATATTTAGGCGTTAATAACTAAGGTCCTTCTTATGGAAACCATCAGGAAACTTCCTCTGACCTCCATGAGATTGAATTTGGTTCCAAGAGCTAGCAAAGTAGGTTCTGGGGGAATCTGGCCCTTTTTTTTTCCCTTTTTTTTTTTCCTTTTTTTTTCCTGAATATGACTGACTTCTGAGGTGTGTAAGTGACAAACCAAAAATGAAGTGCCCTGGTCTAGAACTACCTCCTGGAATGACACTAGTGCATATTCTCTGTGTGCTGCCATGCTCTTCCCATCTCCCCAGCAGATTCACTGCAGAGTTAGTGTGGTACTAATGCCTGTTGTGAGGATCAGAATTGCTTCCAGATGGAATACAGTGATTAACAGGTGTTTCAGGGTACAAATTGCCCTTTAAGTGCTTAGGTACAGTGATATTTTAATAGGCCCCCATTAGGCCTCAGAAATTACAGTTACACTGTTTTCTAAATTCTAATAGAATATTGGCAATAAGGGATTCCATTAACACAATCAGCATAGCTCAGAGTTTCATGTGATTATAAAATAATATTTTTAAAGCTGCTTCATATACCATTATTATGGTATGACTGTTTAAGGGATTACACTTAAACTAACATTTTTCCTGCTGCATGAGAACTCCAGTATATAAATATAATAAGCTTCTGTCAGTGCATAACTGGTCCAAGCTTCCATGCTCTCGGAGCCTTCCTGCATGTATAGAGAAGTCAGGAACCAGATGCTCAGCTGATATAAACTAATGTAACTTCCCTGTTGTCCTTACAGCTACTGGGGTTGATACCAGCTGAGTGTTTGGCGTTAAATGTACAGAATAGACAAACTGCAATTTTTGTTTAAAGTAGCCCCTCTACTGTAGGTAACACCAAAATTTAAGACTGTAATATTATTTGTGCTATTTAATACTTCCTATTTGGAGGATTTCTAAATAATGTATATAATTTTATTCCTTAAAAAAAAATGCAAAAGCAAAATGACTTCTAGGCATAACTTCACCAAATGTAAAGATATGTTCTCTGCCAAGAACTTCACTGTGTACTGGTATTTTTTTTTTTTGCCTTTTTATTTTGTGTAGTTTGTAAAGTTTGCTGAAATCTTGACCTAACAATGTGTTCTTTGCAATTGTTGTTACTGTAGATATGCGTGTTTTATTAAGAGAATCTTGGTTTTAAAACTGTAGGTATGTGTATAAGTTCCTAGCATGATGAAACTGTCATGACAGTGAATATGCATCATATAGTGTGTAAGAAAGAACAAAATGTAGTTTAACATAGTGCTATTTAATTGAATATCTAAAATGCCCAACAAAATAAAGTGTGTTGCAACATTTAAAAATTTGTTGGTTCCCCCTTATGGATGTGCATTAAAAAAGAACTTTTTTTTTCTTTTTCTTTTTTTTTTTCTTATTAAGAAAATAATCTGAAAATAAATTCCCTTGATTTTCCAAATAAGTTCAAGAAAATATTTGGAGCATCAGGTATTGTAGCTGGTCAGTTCCCAGCCCTGCTCTGGACTGAAGCCCCAGTCACAGAGGTAACAAGGAATTCATGAGGAGTCAGAGATTAATCTTTCAGAGATTATTCCATATAAGCACTTTGCATAAAAGCAGGTTACTTTTCTTTAATTCATTGCTTAAAAAGATAATTTAAAAAATTGTTTTCTCCTAGGACTATAAAGTAAATCAGAAATGTCTGACTAAAAGAGGGGAGTGAAGTGCAAATGCTTTTTGCTTTTATTAAACTGAGGAGGGGAAAAAACCCCATGCATTCTGTGAAATCCTGATTCTTTCAGCTGAGACTCCTGGCATTCTCCAGCATCTTTGCAGGGAGGACAGGCTGCTGGGGCGGCAGCACAGGGAGTAACAGCTCTCTCCATTTCCTGGCTTGTACTTGGAGTGAAATAACCTGCCTGACACCTACAGCACGCTCCTTTTCCCTGCAGTTCTCTTCTGAGCAGTGTTATTGCTGCTCTTCTTACTGGCTGTTTATCCAGATTGTTTTAACAAGGAAGCATAGGTCTTCATCAGTTCCTTGGGATAATAATTGAAAATTAAATGTCACAAATACTGACCTTCACAACAAGGTTCTGGGTTGTTAAACCCAGATTTTGATTTCCCAGAGAGATAGGTTGCTGCAAGGCTTTATGAGGTGTGAGTGGATAAGATGACCTCACTCCAGGATTTCTGTACTGGCTGATTCCTGGATGTGCTGATATTGGATAGTTACCTGCTCAGCACTCAGACCAGTCTAGGTCAGAAGCTGAGTTTCCCAGCACTCCCACATGCTGTAGGAAATGTTTGGATAAGGCTCCAAAACAGATGGACATTTACAGAGTTTTACACTCTGAGAAAACTTTACCAGGTCTGATCCTCTGTCCATCCTGCTCAGTTGTCTTTTGCTGATCTTCTTCCCTGATTCATTTTTGCCCTCTCCTGAAGGGTTCAGCACTTAAGGTTTTGATCCCTTGGCTCCGAGCCCTGGCAAAACAAGACCTGGATTTCAGATGTGAGAACTCTAGAGGTCTAACACTTCTCCCTTGACTTTAAAATGTCTGTTAGATCATTTTTCTTCCTCCATGGGGAGCTACTGCTTTTTCTAAGGTCTCCCTTCTGGTAGCAATACCTTTCTAAGGTTTCCCTTTGAGTAAGTGCAGGATGCAGAACTCAGGCACTTTCTCACAAGACTGAGCAGTGTCAAGCTCAGCCCCCTCCAGGCAGCCACAGAAGCCCAGAGGTGACCAGTGAAAAATGTTCCCTGCACAGGAGGGGCAGCCAGCATTGGTGTGGTTCCCAGTGCTGCCAGATTATTGTTGCCTCTGGAATTAAGTGTTGCCTCCAGAATGAAGTCAGCAGATGTAATTCTGTTGTGCAGGCCATAAAAAAACCAGGTTGTGGCATTGCCTGAAGCAATGGACTAGGTCTCAGGAAATCAGTGCTTCCTTATCCTTTGCACTGAGCCCTTCTCGTGCATCCCCAGTGAGTTCCTGTGCTGTGAGCCCAAGTACAACCACACACAACCAGAGCAGGTCCCAGATATACATGCACACACACATCTATGTGCATACAGAGAAGCTTTGCTTTCCAGGCAGTATTTACCTTTCTTTAACATTGATGTGTGTCCTCTTCTCTTTCCACACGTGCAGAATCAGTCCTCACAGTCCCAAGACATCAACAGCTTGTCAATATTGCCATTACCATCTCTGAGAGCATTTTAAAGACAAGTAATTAGTCAACAAAAGTTGTTCTATTCACTCTCCGTTCCAGCTTACCTTGTTCTATACCATCTCAACAAAAACTTCCTTTTAGCATCAGGAGACTAGCACTCCTGACTAGTGTAAGTAATAAAACACTAGATTAGTGTAAGTAATAAAAAATGTGCTGTCATTTAACATGTCTAATCTAAACTAAAGGCTGAGATTTAGAGGTGCTTTGGCATTCTGAACACACCAAGAAGCAAATTCAACACAGCTGGCTCAGCAGTCAACAAATAATTACTCTACAGTGATAGACTGTCCTATATCCCAGGATTTATTATTGAATTCCATATACAGGCTTACAAAGCAAACAGCATTTGTGTATTCTTAGCACTCTATCAGCTTCATTATTCCTGATTTGAATGCCTGATAAACAAACAGCCTCATATGCTGGCCTTATAAATGAACCTGAATGTCTGCTGAGCTCCACATTCAAGACAGTTTAGGCAAAGGGATTTCAACATATCCAACATTTTATAGAGCCATATATTTTTTTCTAAAGGATTTTAGGGAAAAAAGAGCCAAATTAAAAAATGGTGATTATTGTTGTCTGTGGTAAATGAGAGTTGATAACAAGGATTGTTTTCTAGCTTGTGCAGCAACATGCAGTGTGGGGAAGGAGTAAGAAAAATGCATTTGCTTAACCTTGGGTTCACAACCCTTTGGATAGTTGCTGTTCCTTGGCTCTTTGCAGTAGTCCTTTCTCCAGTATCTGCTCTCCCTGTCTGCATTTCAAGGCCCCTAAGAGCCATGCAGTTTTTACTTTTTTTCAAGCTGACAACTTAAGACATGATGTCCAGGGCTTCCTTTCAGGATTTTTGTACAATAAAACCTCAGTAAAAGCTGTATTACATACAGCTTGGCCTATGATATCTGCCTAAGAAATTTCATTATTTGATTCAATATTTGGAAAAAATCTTGTAATATTTGTAAGGCTTTGCTGAAAATGGCACAGAGAGAAGAAGACCCCAGAAATAAGCAGAGCAATGGAACATGCCATGATCCTTACATGAACACTGTGAACATTTCCTCACTGCTGCATGCTGTTATATGATGGACAAATATTGGTTTTATATCAGCCTTGAAAGCCCAATTTTCCCATAGGTTAAAGCTCACCAAGACTAAGGTCCTTTCACTGCTCACAATGAGATTCTGGTTGAGACCTTTGAAGAGCTTTTATGCCCCACCTAATTTTGGTTAAAAATTAAACCAT